GGAGTACGGACCAACTCGTATTTTTGAGTGGTGGCCGTGCTTTTAGTATCTTCTGCCGCAGCTTGGCCGCAGCTTCTTTAACTTTTCTTTGCGGATCCAAACTGCTGCCTTCAACGAAATATTCCGAAATTCCAAAAGCCTCCCCGAAGTTTTGCGTTTTTCTCCTGTTGTGCTTCTGCTATTTGATGAGTTTCCCTTACGCTGAAAATAAAAATAAATCCATTTCAAATTTTTCTTTTTGTACAAATGTTTTACTTGAAAAAAAAAAGTAAAAAAAAAAAAACTCTTGGAAATCCCATCACAAAAAGGTAAACCTTTTCTAATTTATAATTTTCTCTCGTGTGCTCAAGATTAAAAAATGAATTTTTTTTAATTTTTAATAAGAGGGAAAATGTAATCCTTTCCTCTACAACCTTTTCTCACCTCACAACGGATTTCAAAGATTGTGTTGTTGTAGATTTACTCTTATTTAACAAAAGTTGTAAGCATTGATTAAAATGAAACTGCGTCGAACAACAGCACAATCCCATAGGGGAGGCTTTTTTTGATTGAGCTTCGGCCAAAGCCCTGTCAAGTCCCATCCACCCCAAACAATGATCCCCGGACAATAAATGATTTAAAGCTTTATTTTGTAAATATAAAAAATTCCCATTTCTTTTCATCAATGATTTTTTTTTCCACCTTCGAAATTTTTTACGATTTCGAATTTTCATTCTTTGCTCATTCGTATTGCATAGCGACGACATATTTTCTAAACCTCCTTGTCCAGAGGTACCGCTCCCGCAAATTCGATTAAAAACTCTTTTTTTTTCTATTTGATTTTGTCTTTGGCACATTTTTTTAAAAAAAAAAAAAAAAAAAAAATAATGGTAAATAGCTTATTATACGAGGCACTCAAAATGGAAGACTTGATAATAAATGGAAGACTTAATTTAAATTTTATCACTTTTCACTTCACTAATTCATAATGGCTACTCAACTCTATACTGGAAGACAATCGGTATAAAAATGATTTCTCATAAATAAAATTATAAAACGCGGTTTCACATTTTTAAATTATTTTCTTTCATTTTAATAATACTTATTGATGGAGAGAAAAGGAGAAAAAAAAGAAAAAAAAAAGAAAAATAAAATGGAAAATGGAAAAAGGAAAAAAGATGTGCGTCGGATAGAATGTGCATAGTATGTATGAAAAACGGTATGAAAACTGACCTGCGCTTTGATGAAAATGTATATTTATAAAATTCAAAGACATTTTCCTCACTCGCATACAAAAATAAATAAAAAAAACTCTTATGTATATCGTTAAAAAACTAATTATTATTATTATTATTAATAAAATTATCTAAAACTTAAATTCTATCAAATTAATATATATTTATAATCGCGCGAGAGAACATTCTCGGTTCGAGTTTAAGATTAAACTGGGATCTTTTTGACGGCAAAGAAAATCAATATTTCAAACAGGAAGTCACAAAAAAAAAAAAAAGCAGGATTGCAAATATATAAAGAGAGACAAACAAACGTTAGCAGCAAAAGAGGGGGGAGGGAGGGGGGGAGGGAAAAATAAAAGGGTGAAAAAATCATCGATCGCGAACGAGACCCTCGACTCTTCTCAATCAAAATTTAATAATTTTTTCCAATTAAAATTATTTAGAGTAACTAATTTTTTTTTTTTTTTTTTTTTTTAGACCGTTTTTTTAAGCCTTAAAAAAAAAAAAAGTAAATAAATGTAACAAACAGGATAACAAACACGTAATGAAAAAAAAAAAAAAAAAAAAAAAAAAACACCCTAGCCCTTTTTTTGAATAAATAAATTATTAGGGTTTCTTTTCAAAAAAAAAATCCACCATTTTTAATTATATTAGAAAATGGGAACGACACAAATGGACATTGTGACGAGGGGGGGGGTTCGTTTTATTATTGATTTTTTTTTTTTAAATCCCTTTTTTTCTTTAAAATATACCGCGTAACCAATTGAAAATCAATATAAAACCTAATTAATTACTATCGGTTAATAATTTTTATTCATTCAATAAAATATGAATTGACCTTGTTAACAGTTTGACACTTTTTTTACGTGTCAGACTATTAATTGTAATTATCCCGTCAATTTTACGTTTATGAAAAAAAAAAAAAAAAATTTAAATCAAAACCTTTGTTTATATATTCTAGAGAAATCATTAAAATATAGTTTAAAATTAAGAGTCACTCTTGGTATATTTATATGTATGACATTCTAATACTTCTCCATATTACAGAAACCTAAATCAATCAGCATTCAATCTGTGAAATTCAAATTTTTTTTTTTTGCTAAGACCAACTTCTAACAGAAGTTAGAACTTGAATTAAACATTGATTCAAAAAATTTTTTTTTTAATAAAATACATGAATAAAATATCTAAAGATTTTTTTAAAAAACTCTACGAGAAAAATATAAAAGTTTTGATCGTTTTAAAATTCAAAATAAGTAAAATGAACAATGGGTTAAGTATTTGTAGAGTAAGTGGGGTTTTTTTTATGATAAAAACCTAACATAAAAGTAAATAAATAAAAAATTTAATAACCCACCTAACTTAATTTTAAATTTAAAAATTTATAAAACAATAAACTGAGAAAACTAATTTAGATTTTTAGCATTTTATGTTTTCTAACGTTTGACAAAAACGATTTTTAGTTTTAATTAACCTAATATGAAGTTGTTTGGGTAAAATAAACTATTTTAATTTTGACATGCATAAAAATAGAATTTCAAAAGTTTGATAAAAATTAATCAATGAAAATAAATAAAACAATAATAATTATCTACAAAGCATTTTTAAAATAAGAAAATAGTTTATATAAAAAATAAAAAAAATGTATTTCGATGTTCAGATTTAGAAAGCAAAGAATTTTATGTAACTTACTGTGTAAGCAATTTCTCACAAGCATTTAAAGCATTTAGATTCACATTTAAATTAGAGATTATAACATATGAGTGCTATTAATAAGCATTTTAAACAAAAAAACATAAAAAAACTTGGGATATCTCAATGTAGAAACATAGAATGTTATGTAAATGTATGAAAAATAATAACAGGCAAAGAAATATTGCATGATGGGTTTATAACACTAAATGGTAAATAAAAACCTTATCAAATATGAGTAAGAATAGTAATAAAGTTTTGTATTACACACACAGAAAAAAAAAATTAATAACTTACGCTACCCTTCCGAATTCGTCTTTGGGTGTTTCTGATTTTTTTCCAGAATTTGAGGTTATTAGCATATTTCTATACAAGGTCACTTTGTTTTCTATTTCTTCTTTTGAGTACCTGAAAAATACGATTATTTTAATATATAAAATTACCAAAAACACATTTAAATTTTTTTTTTTTTTTTTTTTTTTAAACGCACCCTTGATCTTCTAAAACCTCCTCTAATTCCATACATTTAACTTCCATTTTGCGTTTGCGCTCATGATCTAATATTTCCCGGTTTGGTTGTTTATTTGAATTTGCTTCTAATTTCTCCAACTCCTCATCCGTTTTGTAATGTACCTTATCTTTTGTTTTACGTACAAAAGCCCAATTTCTTTGTACGTAACCGTTTGTACCCGAACCCCGGGGTGTTTGAAGACCAATTCCATTATACATTGCACTGAAATGAAAAAAAATGTCTTAAAATTCCTAAAATTAACACCTTTTACAGTTTAAAAATTAAATAATTTAAACTTTACATTATTTTCAATTAAATAAAGGAAAACAATAATTATTATGTTAAAAAACGACACAACCGTAATTAAAAAACTTTGTTGTTTGGCTAATACTTGCCTTTTTTTACAATTTATTGATTTCCTATAGAGCAGTGAAGACAACCATTGAAAAAAAAAAAATTTTTCGGGGCCCTTTTTAATTCTTTTTACATTTACTGTTTACATTTATTTTAACCGGTATTTTTGAGTTTATAAAAAAAATAAAAAAAACTTCAATGAATTCAGTTAATAAAGCCGTTAATGAAGCTGTAAAAGCCTACTACACAACTGTACTTTCTCAAATTTTTTCACCATGTGGAAATTTTTTGCTGGCCGGTACTTGTTACGGTGAAGTATTTGTATTTGAGTAAGTATAATTTTGAGTAGTTTACTTGCTTGGTAATAAATTTTAAATTTTTAAAAAGTAGATTTATCTAATTTTTTTAGTATTGCAAAAATTCTTAATCCCGACCATGAAATTAAGGATTTAAAACAAAAATCATGTATGAAATTTACAGCTGATAAAGATGGTCAAATTTGTTCAATGAACAGTACTGACAAATTTCTCATTGTTGGTTCCTACGGTAAAATAATTGGATTCGAATGGAAATACATAATTAATGGAAAAGTTCCAAAAGTAGCTTGGTGTATAAATTTACCTCAGTCAAAACATGGAATAGAAGTTGTTGAAGTTAATGCACTTGCCATAGGTGAACAAGGAAAGCTTTATTCGGGATGTGGGGATAACAATATACATGTTTATAATTTAGAATATGGAAAACTAATACAAAGTTTAACTGGACATTCCAATTATATTCACGATATTGCATACATGTAATTTTTTTGGGATATTATTTTGTGTGAATCAATATTTACATTAAATAATTGTTATTTTTACCCTGTGCACAAATTTTGTCTCACTAAATTTATTTTATGTTCAGGGACAATAAAAAAATAGCATCAGCTGGAGAAGATGGTTTGGTTTACATTTGGGATTGTCTCACATCGAAAGCTGTTGCAAATATCGAACCACACAAAGAAAATTCTCTTCAAAGGCCTCATTTGGGAAAATGGATTGGTTGTGTTACAGTTGACAAAGACTGGCTAGTAAGTATTCTTTCCATTATTTAAAAAATACAAAATGAAAGATTTAGTGATTTTTAAGTTTATTATAATTGAAGAGAAATAAATAATAGTTATTGGAATAACATGTAACATTGTTTTAGGTATGTGCAGGAGGTCCTAAACCTGGTTTGTGGCATATTGGAGCCATGCAATTAACAACATCGTTTGATGTTATCAATAAAGAAATTCACGTTTGTAAACTTCATGAAGAAAAAATGATTGTTGGTACGGGGGATAAATTGAGTCAATTTACTCTTCAAGGAGAAACAATATGTTCCATTCCGAGTTCTTCATCAATTATTTATTCTCTTATATTACAAAAAAATCCTCATAATTTAATGATTTTTGCCGGTTCATCTGCCGATATAGATTTTTGCACTAATTTTCATTACAAAGATCAAGTTTTGTCCTGTAGATCTTAGGTAAAGTAATTTATTATTACAATAAAAAGCAATAAATTGTTTTCAATAAGATTTAAACAAAAATTTTAAAAACAACTTTGATTCTCAAACTTTGACGAATTTTATAAAATATAATTTTACATTCGTTAAAAAAAGTATGACATTTTTTTTTTAATTATTAATAAAAATATTAATTTAATAATATTAAAATGGGTAACGACTTCGGTCTATAATAATAATAATAATAATAATAATAATTTTTTTGTTAATTCAAAGAAATCCGTGTCCAGCGACAACAGCCGGAATGAATCCTTCTTTTCCGTTTCTGTCGCGAACCCAAAACCAGTCTTTTAGCTGAGAACTTATCAGTGATACAACGTCTCCTTTACAAACGGACAATTTATTATTTCCATTACTTTTATAGTCTGTTCCTATAACGAGTAACGTTTGCTTCACGGAATGTTTTCTAGACGCTCGAAGATATAAACCGTCGACATTTTTTTCACCGCTGTCTCTTCTTATTCTGTAAGTCTCTTCTTATTCTGTAATTAATAAAAAACTCTTTTCTTAAAGGAAAATTTTTCATTGAACAACTAATATATTTAATTGTATTATTATATACAATATAAAACTAATTATTATTATTATTATTAATAAAATTATCTAAAAATTAAATTCTATCAAATTAATATATATTTATAATCGCGCCAGAGAACATTCTCGGTTCGAGTTTAAGATTAAACTGGGATCTTTTTGACGGCAAAGAAAATCAATATTTCAAACAGGAAGTCACAAAAAAAAAAAAGCAGGATTGCAAATATATAAAGAGAGACAAACAAACGTTAGCAGCAAAAGAGGGGGGAGGGGGGGGGGAAAAAATAAAAGGGTGAAAAAATCATCGATCGCGAACGAGACCCTCGACTCTTCTCAATCAAAATTTAATAATTTTTACCAATTAAAATTATTTAGAGTAACTAATTTTTTTTTTTTTTTTTTTTTTTAGACCGTTTTTATAAGCATTAAAAAAAAAAAAAGTAAATAAATGTAACAAACAGGATAACAAACACGTAATGAAAAAAAAAAAAAAAAAAAAAAAAAAACCCCCTACCCCTTTTTTTGAATAAATAAATTATTAGGGTTTCTTTTCAAAAAAAAAATCCACCATTTTTAATTATATTAGAAAATGGGAACGACACAAATGGACATTGTGACGAGGGGGGGGGGTTCGTTTTATTATTGATTTTTTTTTTTTAATCCCTTTTTTTCTTTAAA